AGAGAGAGAGAGAGAGAGAGAGAGAGAGAGAGAGAGAGAGAGAGAGAGAGAGAGAGAGAGAGAGAGAGAGAGAGAGATTTGTCCCTTTTGTGAAGTGTCCGCAAGCTTTGTGAGGCTGTTATGGGGAAACCAGAAAGACATTTGAAGAGAGAGAAGTAGGGATTGGAAGGAAAGGGGGGCGAAGTGGGGGGGAGAAGGAGAGGAGAGAAAGAGAGACACACAGGGAGTGGAAGTGGTCTACTGGGCCAGGTTGCCCCGCTTCCCTGTAGTTGACTTTTGCCTCAGCCCAGCAAGGAGCCGGTCCCTGGCTGACGAACCACTGGACGGGTTGGCTGTGTTCACAGATGGTGATCCAGGTCCTGATGCTTGTGATGGGGAGCCGCCTGCAGCAATAGCAAGCTGCGTAAAGCTCTGTTGTTTCAGACTCTTTCCGACAGCCCCTTTGGGACTACTCACTCCCGCTGCTGAGCCATCTCCTGAACCTTCAGATCCCAGTGCGCTCAAAGTTGCTGATGATGCGGCAGTAGACTGCGGGAACGAAGGATTGTACGAGCGTTGGCTACTCCCTCCTCCCCGCAATCCTGTGCCAGCTCCAGTGACAGCTGTCTCTCTTTCCTTTTCCCTGCTTGCTCCTCCTCCGCCTCCCCCTCGACTTGGCATCCCACGAGACGTCCCAGGCTTTCCACCTCCTAGGTCTCCTCCTTGCTTTGAGGCCGCTGTCGATGTCTTGCCCAAAGGAGTCCCCACTGTTCCCCTCTCCATCCCCAGAGCCCCTCCCCTGAAGTTCCTTTTGGATGATGCGGCGCCTTCCGTCTCTGAAGGGTTGTTCCCTGTCCCTGGCTGCTGACTTGGCATCCCAATTGCTCGTTTCTGTGACTCTAACCTCAACCTGTGTAGCATTTCATCCAGCTTCCTTTTCTCCTCCTGCTCGTCTTTGCTCAGCATGTTCCACTCCTCCTCCTCCTTCTGCTTGTCGAGCGCCTCAAATTCCACCTGATTCGATGACGTCCCGTTGAAATGCTCTAGTCCGCTGCATCTCACACTGGAATACTTGTATTCTTCAGCAATGCTATGGGCTATTTGAGCAACCTCTGGGTCGTTGTCGTTCATCCGCTGTGTCGCACAGAAGTTTATCCTTTCTAGAGCAAAGACATCCTCTGGCAGCTTGATTGCTGCCTTGAGCTTTGGCAACAAGAGGCACGCCCGCATTCGCACGCTGGCAATCGCATCTTGCACTACATCGACTGCAGCATCAAAAAAGAAGTCCTTGAAGAACCGTGAACTGCAGACTGACAGCGCGTGTTCACAGAAGATGGTGTAAGTCAATCGACTCCAGTAACTCCTGCCTTTCGCAAACTCCCTCACAACCTTCTGACTTAGCTCGTATCGCTGCGAAGCTTTCTTATTGCTCCGGATGAGCACTGCCATCGCAAACCCCGCCGCAGATTTAACAGGCAAAGCGCCATTCGCCATGTACCTGAAACAGAGCGGGATGAAGTGCTCGTAATTCTGTTCACTCGTGAAGTACGTCGGGAACTGGGGAAACGTCTCTAGCAGCGCGAGGTGAAGCCTCCACCTATTTCCGATGTTACTCTCCGCTTGCAAGACAGCTGGGAGTAAGGAGGTGTAGACAGAGGCTCTCTGCTGAGGAGCAGTGACCATAAACTGCCCCAGTATGCCGCCAACGTTTCGGATCATCTCCTCCTGGACTTCTCTGTTCCCATCCTTGAGCAGCTGAACTGCAATGTCTTTCAAATACCCTGCTGTTCTCTCCTTGCCAATGATTTTCGACACCTCCTGAAGCCCGGCTGCTATGGTTTTCCGAACCGTCACAGACGAGTCCTGAGCCAGCTGAATATGGAGAGCGTGCAATACAAGGGCATACCTTCGAGCTCCCAATGCCCTGAGCACAGCTGGGAGGTTCTGAGCACAAGCCGGGCGAATATCTTCGCCAGATTTTCGGCACAAGTTTTTGTAATGCTCAAGAAGACCTTGCATATCATCATCTGAGAGATCAGCTGCCATCTTGCCTACCACATTTCCGAACTCGTTCGCTACCGCTGCCATGATTCGTACGTCTGTGGCTGTGGCAAACTGCTTAAAGAACGGCAATATCCCTTTTATCCTTATTTCGGGTGGAAGCAGGTCTAACATCTCCACCATGCCTTGGAAGGCTGTGGTCTTCACCTCCACTTCCTCATCGTTCAGCAGTTCGTACAGCTCTGGCAAGACCACTCTCACTGTCACGTCCACGCCCACAGCTTTCGCAATCGCTGCCAACTGCATGCTCATAGCTCCCCGCACCTCCGCGTCAGTGTCCTGGCAGAGGGCCATGGCCTTATCGAGGTAAAGTCTCTCGATGTCCTCTTGCTTCAGCAACGGTGAGATCGCCCCCAGGATGCAGGCACATACGGCACGAGACCTGCCCGTCTCCTCCACCTCTCCCTTGGACATTGCCAGTTTGAACAGATCGTCCTTCAGATTCTTGACCGGTAGAGAGGGCGCCATTGCGTAGAGCGCCGACAGCCATGCCTTGATGACCTCGTCGTTTCGGTTAGAGCTCAGCATTTTAACTACCGCAGGGAGGAGCCAAAGTGCAATCTCTTTGGACTGCGATGGGTCAGACAGGATGTCGGCCAACACCTCACCAGCGGCAGCTTGGGTCTGCAAAGCAAACTCGTCCAGCGATCGCATGAAAGTTGGGAAAAGTGCAATATGCGCAATCCGCCCATGCTCTTTGTATATTGCTGGAAGTTTGTCGAGTGCGCAACTCTGCTGCAAAGGGTGAGCTGATGGCAACAAGTACAAGGCCATCCGGTCAAGTTCTGTAAGGTTCTCGTCGACTGTCAGTCGTTGGATCTCCTCGCCGCTCTTAAGCCCCTCCTTCCGAGGCACTTCCCTCACTCCTCCAGCAAGGCTTGTATTGAACTCTCCCTCTGCCCATGGCTCTAGAAACTCTGTGATCCTCATGGACATGCTTGCCCCTACAGCCTGAGAGTCGGTGATGGGCCGATAGGACTCGCAGCATCCACGGCCTCCTTGTCAGCCTCACAAATTGCTCTAATCAGCCTCTAGACCCTCCAGTTTTGGGAACCCGCGCCCGCGCATTGGCATGTGTTCTATGCTTATGCTGTTCCACGGGGCACAGCGGCATATACAACCTCCTCGTCAACCTCTCAATGCTCCACGGGTGGATGTATAATCAGCCTCTAGAGCCTCCACTCTTGGGAGCCTGTGCATTGTCATGTGCTCTACGCTTATGCTGTTCCATCGCGCAGGACATAGCTTCCACCCTGTAATGCTTCTGATTCAGGTTCTGGATGTTCGATTCCACTGTGGCATCATGCCATCATCAGCGTCTCATCATCTTATAAGCTAACTGGGCCCTACATGTGTGATGAGGATCCCGAAGGAATAGAAGGCTGAGATTTCCAAAAGGCTTTCCGAGCTACTTGTGGAATATGGCTCATTTTTCTCGAGTCCATTTGCGAGGGATTGGTCCATAAACGTTTGGTCAACGGTTTGACTTGTGAAGCAGAGTCAAAGAAGAAGAAGAAGAAGAAGAAGAAGAAGAAGAAGAGCACAGCAACACTTCTCTTGGACAGTCGCAGCAGCAATACAAGCTCCTCTGTCTCTCGGGGCCCAGTTTCTTGCTCGGCTATATCTTCATCCTCTGTGACATGCACCAATCAGCTGCCCTCAAGCGCGTTTGAACCTAGGACTCGATTGGGTGGTGCGTCCTTGGCTGATCTACGCATGGCAGAAGAAGACAAGGCTACTTCAGGAATAGCTGTGCTATTCTTTAGCCATGCACAGCCAGGTTGGCTATGTATGGCAGTCTACCTTCCTTTCTTTGTGATAGTGGTTACTTGGCCAAAGCCTCCAGGAGGGATAGGAAGTGAGCTCTCAAAATAACTAAGCATCCTGTTCCAATAGCTGCGTGGTCTTCGGAAGTATGTAGTTGGTCTGCAACATTTGAGAAGACGCCTTTTGCACCAAGTCCGAGCTTTCCACCATGATTGACAGTCTCAGGTGCTTTCAGATGCATTTGCGGGCAAGCTCTCTGCAGCACCAGCACAATGGAAGGGAGGAGGGAGGGGAAGGAGGAGAACGAGGAGGACGAGGAGGATGTCACTGGCATGATCCCATTCTGCTGAGTCTTAGGAATCCAATCATGGTCCATGTCTTAGAATCAAACAAGGCATTGACTTCCACTGTTTCCAGTTCTCTACGATGGTCAATCCGGAGCACATAAGAATTCGAGAACCGTTCCTTAAGCTGCGGCTGCATTCGGCCACTGCAAAATCACACCAATTCCTCGAGAAACAAGCATGATGATGCCTGCAGGACCTGCACTCTATTACTCTATCAATGACGATCTCCATTTTCCCACACGATTAGAGATGGAAGGACCTGAAAGCCAATCTACGGTCGCCTGACAGCCATGTCTGGCAGTAGAAACTCGTCGAGGCCTGTACGTGGAACAAATCACTAACTGGCCCTAGTTAAAACATCCTTCGAAGTAAGGCCAACAAATTCCGAGGCCTGAATTCCAGCTCAGACCTGCCAGCAGTGCCAGGGACAGGCCCTTAAAAAACTGAGCTACTTGTGGAGGCCACTGGCCGAATCAAGTAGCCAAGCACAGAGCTGTAAATGTATTCTTGCTGCTGACTAGTATACTTGATGGAGTGTAATGCCAGTCTTCTGCAGAGAGTATAGGCAATGATCTGGTCCAGTACTTTTCCCATCCTGCCTATCCCGTCAGTAACTCAAGATTTAAAAGAGGACAGCATTGGTAAGAAGGCAATGACAGAGCCAATCAGACAGAGGACACGAGACAGGCAGAGAGAAAGAGGAAGTATGCGCCGCAATCGCCTAATCTGGAAGAACCTAACGGCAGGAATTCCATGATAAAAATCAATGTCTATTCCCTCCATTCCTACATCCTCTCCCTCACCTAGCCCCCCCTTCCCCCCTTCCTTCTCTCTCTCTCTCTCTCTCTCTCTCTCTCTCTCTCTCTCTCTCTCTCTCCTCTCCCTCTCTCTCTCTCTCTCAACCTCTCTCTCTCTCTCTCTCTCTCTCTCTCTCTCTCTCTCTCTCTCTCTCTCTCTCTCTCTCTCATCTGAGCAGGGGGCAGAAGGATGATCATGACAGTGTCGTATGCCATGTACTCAATGTGTTCACTGTGAAAGTAAAGCCTCGCACATTGAGTTCAGTTGCAGTTGCTTATCTCTGCGCACGGGGCCTTGAACTTGCTGGAGCCTACCCATGAAGATCGGCACTAATACAGTATGTTCATTTACCTTATGATATACTTTGGCTTCATTTCTAATTGTGTGTCATACCAGGTGTCGTTTATCTGTGGTTGATGAACGCACAATCGTTTCATGGTTGTCATGTGTCGATAGACTCGATGCTAATGATTTGTCAAGTCATATCATGCAGGGAGTGCGATGGGCCAATTCTTAATTTTGATATCAGAGCGTTGATTTTGTTCACTGTATATCTGGAGCAATTGTTGTAATGTTTATTATCGATCAAGGGCGCGATATCTTAACACGGGTTTTCCGTACATTAAGACGTTTGATCATCATGATATTCTGTGGTTGTATTGACATTTGTAGGTATCGTGTGTTATCGTATGACTTGGGCATGGCGTTCGAGAATCAGTGTGTACGATGGTGCTTTTGCGCTCATCATCCGATCAAAGAAGAAGATATTCATCGTCTTCATCATCAGATTCCTCTCATGGAAGAAAGCGGGCGAGACATGGACGATCAAGATCACCACGTAAACACCAATCCAAGTCACATTCACCAAGACGCAGGGTGATGTCGGAGTCACCAAGCAGAGGTGGCAAACATCAGCCACGTGCACCTTGGCAGAATGACTTCCCATCTCCTGGAAACAGAGTGTGGTTTACAGCTGAGCTGAAGGAGGAAATCTTTGCCCTGTGAAGGGATGTTGATCGAATCAAGAAACAGGTTGAACGATTAACCGAGAAGATAGAAGAGTTGAAGGCCACGAAGAAGAAAGAATCACCACCAATCTCGATTGAGCAACTCAAGGGGTGACTGACAAGGCGATTGACGTGGCCTTACCGAAAGCAACAGGCAAGCAGAATGGAAAGAGTGCGATGAATGACGGGAAGATACCAGAGAAGATTGGAGCCAAAGCTAATGAGGGAGTGATGATGGATGGTGATAAAGTGGACAAGATGGCACTAGATGTTGGTGATATCCGGAGGGAGGTTAGCGAGATGAAGCTGATGAGATATGAGTTGGCGGCAGTGAAAGGGGCGTTGAAGAAACTACGCACCCCAACCGACTCATAAACACCAGCACCAGCATGATCTCTTCCGGTGTCAGTGACACCTGGGAGGTTAGCGAGATGAAGCTGATGAAATATGAGTTGGCAGCAGTGAAAGGGGTGTCGAAGAAACTACGCACCCAGCCAAGTCATAAATACTAGCACCAGCACGGCCTCTTCCGACGTCATTGACACCTGGCACGAAGAGGAGAACTCGATCGCTGACACCAGGACCTGTGCGGATTCAGACATCGCATCGAGCCAATAAGATAGTAGCACGCACCACGACAAAGAAATTCCAGGCGAATGACAAAGCCAAGCAAAATATTAACTTCGGGCTTGAACCTATATCCGAAGCTCAATTCCTTCGTTTACGATTTGATGACATCAAGGCGCTTTGTAAACTACATGAAGTTCGTTACATTGACAAGGCACAAGCGATGGCTGTGCTTCGCAAGGTACCGACACCGATACAATATGGAGGAACAAACTTCGCACGGGACTCAATCGACAAATCCCGACTTTATCCAGAGGAGTCGCTATCATAAAGCGACGAAGAGGACGATGGGGCTGATTCAGAGGACAGCGGAGAAAAGGGAGATACTGCAACATCATCATTTGATGACACAAGTGTCGAGGAACTGACAAGAAGGTAGGTACATGTAGTACGATGACGAGCAAGAAGTGGACGTTATTACATAGACTATGCTGACGCCTTGAGTTATTGGGTAAGAGCCGAAAGTGAACGAGTGTCATGAAGTAAATCGTATTTACAGGTTAGCATTCATAATTGTTTGTTGTTGATGGACAAATACCATGGGCAAGTACCTTCGTAGGTCTATGGGCACAACAAACCGAAATACTTGAAAATCTTTTGACAACATCTAATTGCATTTATGTCCTAATATTCCCATGGTGTCGTCATTTCTATCTTGGAAAGACGGGAAGGAAGGTAGATAAAAGATTTTAGGAACATATAAATCTAGCTCGAAATTCAGGGAAGCGAAAGAAAACGAAGTGGCAAACACGAACTTTCGATGTCTTAGCTACACAAAAGCTTTACAGTTGGCTATTGAAGTACGGATGGGCAAGATATGTATTAATCCCGATTTGGTTTGGTGTCAGAAAATGAAATTTCTACAATGGAGAACACATTAATTAAGAGATTTAATCTATATTTGAATATGAGAGGGAGGATCAAGAAGAAGCGAGCAAAGCGGAAATGAAGAAGCGGAAACGAAGAAGCGGAAACAAAGATGTATAAACGTAATAAAATCAACCATCTTCCAATGTTGTTTAACTATGAAATTACTTCCTTTACTCCAACCTAAAGTTCACATAAAGTGTATAGTGGGTGAAATTTGGATAGAAAAGTGGAAGGTGATCAAGCGAAACTACGGATCATCAATCATCGAAATCAATGCAGTACAGTATATGCTCCGAGAATGCAGACAACTGATGGAAAAGGGAGCATTACTGATGTTATTAAATTAATATATACCGGAGTAATCGTACCAAAAACGAACAAGCTCCGGAATATGCTACTAACTGCCTACGAGCACCGTGGATTGGACGAGATATGTACAAGCTTTCGATGTCCGAAATATTATAGTTATTTGTGCAGATGGAATCATTCCACGAAAAGAAACAGCGAGAAACTGTAAAAGGGATGTTCCCAAGGATCGCAATGTGGAAGTTTGGATTTAATATACGTCGAAGACTTATATTTAAGACCCCATATCCGGACACCATACATCCAAAGCGCACGAGATTAGCAGTGGAAGTGGCAATCTGCAAAAATATAAGGCATGGTGAGCTGGCTCAGGATTTAGCAGAGAGAGCACACGTCATGTTCCGTAAGGCTAAGACAGTGGGGGAATACCTGCATAATCACATGTTGATAAGCTCAAAGCAACCGGATTCGGCGGATTGTTTTTGTGATCGGATGACACTACCAAAGAGAGATGGACCTATGTCATGCAGATTAAGTGAAATCACATCGAATGAGTTAATCTATAATGCAAAAAATGTACCAATCATAGATAATCAAATTGGGAAACATGAAATACAAGAACAAGTATGCACACTATATATCAGATTCCTCAATCCATGCTTGTCTCGCCAGTGGAGATACCACATGTGGATGAATGTTTATCATGGGATCACACACAAAATGCGGGATTTCACGTCTCTGAGGTTCTCGTGTTGAAATAACGACTACATCATTTGATTCGATCCCACTGGACAAAAATACCGGGGAAACCTACATGGAATGTGCTCCTGCCTGTTGGGAAGTAACACGATATTTTTTCTTTGACTCGGCTCAGGATGAAGTGGTGGAGTTGAGCCAAAAAGATATTATGTTACAGGCTATGAATACATACACTGGCATGGGATTGAACGGGTAGCAGAATGGGATAAGAACGAGTCGTATAGATCGGCATATACGATCTCAAAGAATAAAGATGTGACGAGAAGGAGACTGATTGTCCCAACGTATAATGAGCCCTCAGGAGCTGCTTCAAAGGTTTTGGCAGGCATAATTTTTTGTGTAAGCGGCAATAGGTGGGTTTTATTCTACATGGGACAAATCAATTAGTACTGAAATTGCAACTATGCAACAGACTGGTTATGGATATGTTTGGAACACATGTTGAACTCATATGTTCCACATATGACGTTAAGGATATGTTTTCCAACTTGGATCACACACATATCCTTAACGCCATGCAATGGATGATCATCAACATTAAAGGAAGAAGAAGAAAACACCTATGCTACAAAGTACACGGAAAATACATGAATTATGGGAAAGCAAATGGGCCATGGGGGTGGAGAACAGTAAAGATTGAGCAATTAATTGATTTATTGTTCTATGATATCAAACATTCGTACTTTGTACTGCAAGGCAAATTATTACGCCAGATCAAAGAGGTACTGATGGGAAAGGGATCAAACCCTCCCATTGCCAATTTGGTATGTGCTTATGATGAATATAAATGGATGTCATCATTACGCGCAGACAAAAGTCTTTGAATGATGTGATCAAAGAGATACTGATGGGTGCACGGCTGGCGATTTGTGAATGATGTGATGATTGCAATAATAACTGATAATAGAGACAAACTACAAGCTGGACAAATTTTGGACTCGTTTCAATCATGCGATCACAGTTCTTTGAAATTGGAGTGCATACCACATATTAATGCGCGGGAAGAGAAACATTTAGAAACCACAATGTCCAAATCGGAAATGGAAACTCTCCTGAAGTGTACACATAGAATGAAGAATGAGAATGCGCTCGAGGAGGAGTTAAGGGGATCTTATCGGACTCTGTGCCATTTCAAGGGTTTGGGTTCTGTAAGGACTAAACTCCTCACGATAATAGTGACAATCCATCGCATTGTGGCAAATACATATAATGTGCATAATGTGCCACAAGTCTTATTTTCGGTGGTTGAAGAACTGAGACAGTTAGATTATCCAGATAATGTCATTATGACTGCAGTTAATGCATTCGTCCAGAATTGTAGAAATATAGATACAAAAATTTTGGTAAATAACTTCAAAAATACGTCATTATCAAATCCTCTCGTATGACGGAATACAAACAGATTATGCCCGTAAGACCAATAGCGGAGTATAGCACTGAGTACGAGATTAATCGAGGACAAAATGAAAATTTGGACTGGACAGTGGAAGGGTACCAACAACATGCATGAACACTGTTTTCTATGCCTGCTTACACCCGATAGTACTTCATGGCAAGGGCAAAAATTCGGTAAGCTGCAGAACACAGGAAGTCCCCTTTCGGCATGTAAAGGGAGAGATGGTGCGAACATACGCTTGGGTGGGACACGAGTGGATCGGATGAATGGGACCTCAAAGTATTTTCCTATCTACAAGATGGGATCAATGGAGAAGGAAGGTGGTTGGTCAAGCGCAGGTAACTCGCATGTCGACACTTACACCAGGTCAATCAGGAATATAAACAACAAGACGATTGACATTGCTTGAATTCCTAGCTCTGACGTATCCATGGTATACAACAAGGTGGAAATTTGGGCAGAGCACGTGATGGATGATTGAGTTCACTTGGAAATGGAATGTCAGCCTGCGGGGGCATAAGTATATACACTAACGGAGGCAGGCGAAGATCATCACATACACTGGAAACGGGACAGGTAGCTAGTACAAGCATATGGTACAGGACTAGATACAGCCGGCTGGAAAGCCTTGGGCTACCGACTGAACGTTGATCTGGAATTTCAGACATAGATCGGAGGGATGGAAATGCACACGTTGATCTTACGATAGGGAGAGAGGGTGATTGTGACGTGCGATGAAGGCAGGAGAGGGCACGTTTGAGTTCACTATATATATTGCAGATAGTGGCTGTGATGATCATCTGAGCAGGAGGTAGCAGGATGATCACGACAATTCCGTATGCCATGTGCTCAATGCGTTCACTATGAAAGTAAAGCATCGCACATTGAGTTCAGTTGCAGTTGCTTCTCTCTCTCTCTCTCTCTCTCTCTCTCTCTCTCTCTCTCTCTCTCTCTCTCTCTCTCTCTCTCTCTCTCT